GGAAGCAGGCTCCCCACTGAGCAGAGAGCCCAATGCGGGGCTCGATCCCAGGACCCTGGGATCACAACCCAAGCCAAAGGCAGAGACTTTAACCCACTGAGCCACCCAGGCACTCCCCGAGTTTTCAGTTTTAAAAGTGATTTTTTCCCTTTAATTTCTAGTACTTCGCTGAATTGTCACTGACCTTTTAAAATATTTCATCCACTAATCTGAGCCTTTCTAATTCATTTCTAGCTTTCATAGTTTTCTTAAATTCTTATAACTTGGTTTAAAGCACTTTTGTGTTTTGTTCTCTATTTTTGTTTTAAATTCTACAATTCTGTTGTTCACGTCTATGTGAAATATATTTTCCTATCCTTTTAGGAGGTAGAAAGGATGAAATTCTATTATTTTCACAAAATGACCTCATTTTGAGATTTTGCTTCTTCTGAGTCTCTCCTGCATTTGTCTGTACATTATCTTTCTTTTGTCCCTACTATCCCTGTCCTGATCAATTTTGTGTCTATAGCCAGCAGTTTCTGCTTAATTGAGCTGTTTGGGAGTAAAGCTTTTATTTGCTAGCTTCACGAGTTCATAAGGAACAACAACAAAAAAAGTTCATAAGGACCTAGACTACTCCAACATCTTCAGAACTTAGCACAGTCCCCTCTAATTCACCAGCTAACTGACATCTGTAGGAACCTTCCTTTTGGGCTGTTGTTCTCTAATTAGCCTGTCATGCTTTCTAGTGGAAACCTGTTGATTTAGGGGATCTCTTAATTCTCAAAGTTATCCATTGTCCCACTGCTTTTTCTCTGTGGCTTTCTAAACAGACAGCCAGTACCATTCAGGTCTTAGAGTTTGTCATTACCTGAACAACTTTTGGGACCATGGGGACTCATTGTCATCGAGATTTGTTGTAGATGTTGTGCATGATTTATGCCTCAATGGATTTGGGGAAATCAAAAAACTGCACTGCTATCTCTGTGATCTTCTATTTTCTTTTTTGAAAATAGATTTTACTTATTTGAAAGAGAGATCACAAGTAGGCAGAGAGGCAGGCTGAAAGAGGGGGAAGCAGGCTCCCTGCCGAGCAGAGAGCCCAATGCAGGGCTTGATTCCAGGACCTGAGCCGAAAGCAGAGGCTTAAGTCACCGAGCCACTCAGGTGCCCCAATGTGATCTTCTATTCTTTAATGTACTTCTGATAGTTAATCTTTTATTTGGGAAGATTTCTTTTTTTTTTAAGATTTTATTTATTTGGCAGAGAGAGAAAGAGAGGGAACACAAGCAGGGGGAGAGGAAAAGGGGGAGGGAGAAGCAGGCCTCCTGCTGAGCAGGGAGGCCAATGTGGTGCTAGATTCCAGAACCGTGGGATCATGACCTGAGCTGAAGGCTCAGGCTTAATGACTGACCCACCCAGGTGCTATTTGGGAGTATTTCTGATAATAGTTTGTATAAGTTAGTAGAGCATGGTGACTGAAAGAATGGGGTTTGGAGTCATACCACCTGGATACAAATCCTGCATTCACCATTTACTGTGTGATCCATAACCTTTGTGTCTTTGTTTCCTGTGTAAAAGAACAGGTTGTTGAGAGATCTAAATTAAACATTGTATGTGAAGCACTGAACAAAATACTATATTACACAGTAGGTATTCAACCAAGGTAGCTGTTTTAATTACTATAGTTTTCTTTTTCAGGCCCAGGACTTATGTTTCTGACTTTATAGGGGAAAAAAAAGTAAAAAGCAAAATTTGAATATTTAAAAGAAAAAAACCCCAACCTCTTGACATTAATTCCTGGTTCCATGACAATATAGAAACCACAACTGCAAACAGCTAGAAAATAATGAAAATGAGAAAAACACATGGTAGACAAAAGGTGACTTCAGAGGAGTTCATAGTACCAAGCACTTTCATTATAAAATAGAAAAGAATGAAAATACACGCAAGAAGCATTCAATAGTAGTGGTTAACTGCCTTCTATTTTCTTTTTTTTAAAAAGGTAAAGTAGAAACCAATGAATTAAAAAGAGTAAAATGATAGTACCAAATGTTGGTAAGGATATGTGGAACAGAGACACTCAGATAATGGTGAGAAGGAAAAAAAATTACAACAGAGGTTTAATTAAAGTGGAAGATGAACATAGCCTTTAAGCATCAAGTCTACTTCTAGGTAAGTACTGTAGAGCAGACTTTCCCAACTGGTATGTCAGGGATAGGTGGTTGGGTAATGCCTTTACTGGCCACAGCTTCCAAAGTCTCATATTTTATCCTAGTGGAGCCTATATTCTTTTCTGTATTATCATCTATCTACATAAAGAACTGGTAGGCAACCTCTTCTAGGTAGGCAATCTTTCTTGGATCACCACATTAGAAAGCTGAGTTTCACTGGAGCCAGGGCCATATTTTATTCTTTGCTGGGTCTCCAGCAGCTAGAAGTGTCTGGTATACAGTACTTGCTCAAAAATATTTGTTGAATGTGCAAATGCATACCACATATAAAAATGTTCATTGGAGTATTATAAAAGTACAAAATCAAAGAGTATATGTCCATTTAAATAGAGAAAGGATGAACATCTATATTCATATAATGGGGTATTATTCAGCAGCTAAAATAAATGAAATCCAAGTATAAATTTCAAAGACAACATTGAATGAAAAAAGCAAATTTCTGAAAGGTATGTACAATGCAACCTAGAGTTTTATATAAAGCTTATAAATACAAAACAAGGCTATCTTTTAAGTACAAAATTAAACATGCATGAGCCATCAAAAGAAATGAAATCTTGCCATTTGCAATGACATGGATGGAACTAGAGGGTATTATGCTGAGTGAAATAAGTCAATCAAAGAAAGACAATTATCATATGGTCTCCCTGATATGAGGAATTTGAGAGGCAACGTGGGGGGTTTGGGGGATAGGAAAGGAAAAAATGAAACAAGATGGGATTGGGAGGGAGACAAACCATAAGAGACTCTTAATCTCACAAAACAAACTGAGGGTTGTGGGCGGGGTGGTGGTGGTGGTGGTGATGGTTGGGTTGTGGACATTGGGGAGGGTGTGTGCTATGGTGAGTGTTGTGAAGTGTGTAAGCCTGACCATTCACAGACCTGGGGCTAATAATACATTATATGTTAATAAAAAAAAACTAAATGAAAAAATAAAAAAAATTAAGCATGGAAAGAAACACAACAAAAATCATTGCTTCTGGGGAAAACAGGAGAGGAATGCTATCAGTAAAAGATTTGCAAGAGAGCTTCATCTTGCTCTGTAATATTTTATTTCTGAAATAAAAACTGGAGCATTAGTAAAATGTTAGGATTTAATAGGATTAAATGTTACTTGATATGCTCTTTGTATTTCTGTTAAAATCAACCATAATATTTTAAAAAGGTAGGATAAATAAATCTAAGAATGTGTATGAAAAACGAGTAAATAAACCACTGGTTGGCTAATCAAGAAAGCAAGCATGTATATAGAAATCAATGAGGACACTTAGTATACAGAAAATATCAAAAGAATACTTTCTATACCTTTAAGTAAATACATTTTTAAAAAGCCCAAATAAAATGGACGCTCTTTCTAGAAAAATTACAAGTAAGAATTGAGGAGAAAGAAAACAGAAAGGGAGAAGTGGCAGAGAAATAGTCCTAAAACAAACAAGATTCATGGCCCAAATACATCTACCATTAAATTCTTACAAGTCTGAGGGACAGATTTCCCTTTATCACCTGAACCTTTCTAAAGTATAATGATAGAAAAAGAGTCTTTTGGGGCGTTATTTAGTCATATATTCACAAAGTAGATTAAGAATTCATATTGCGGGGTGCCTGGGTGGCTCAGTGGGTTATAGCCTCTGCCTTTGGCTCAGGTTGTGATCCTGGGCTCCTGGGATCGAGCCCCACGTCAGGCTCTCTGCTCGTCAGGGAGCCTGCTTCCCCATCTCTCTCTCTGCCTGCCTCTCTGCCTACTTGTGATCCCTGTCAAATAAATAAAAATTAAAAAAAAAAAATAAAAAGAATTCATATTGCATCTATTTGTGTCAACCAAAACCAGTCATGTTTAAACATGACAGTTCACAGGAAAAGGAAATATAAATAGCTCAAGTAGATACCCAACCTTAACCCTTTTTAAAAAGATTTATTCATTTGTCAGAGAGGGAGAGCACAAGCAGGGGGAGCTGCAGGCAGAGGGAAAAACAGGCTCCCTGCTGAGCAAGGAGGCTGATGCAGGACTCAATCCCAGGACACTGGCATCATGACCTGAGGTGAAGGCAGACTGAGCCATCCAGGCACCCTTACCCAACCTTATTATTTTTTTTTTTTTGAAGATTTTATTTATTTGACAGAGAGAGAGAGATCACAAGTAGAGAGAGAGAGGGGGAAGCAGGCTCCCTGCTGAGCAGAGCCGGATGCGGGGCTCAATCCCTGGACCCTGAGACCATGACCCGAACCCAAGGCAGAGGCTTAACCCACTGAGCCACCCAGGCGCCCCTCCAACCTTATTCTCAAGTGAAAATACAAAATTCCACTGGGATTTTTACCAGACTAGCAAAGATCAAAATGTTTCAGAACACTGTTTATAAAGATTCAAGGAAATAGGCAATCCCACACATGGGTGGTAGAATTATAAATGGGCATACTTCTTACAGAAAGCAATTTGCCAGCATCTATCAAGAATAAAAATGCATAAATCTTCTGACCTAGTAATTCTAATTAAAAATTTTATCTTACAGTAACTCACTCATGTGGAATTATGTACAAGGTTATTATTATTTTTTAAGAAAGATTTTATTTATTTGACAGAGAGGGCACAAGCAGGGAGAGCGGCAGGCAGAGGGAAAAAGAGAAGCAGGCTACCCCCACCCCCCACCACTGAGCAGGAAGCCCAATGTGGGGCTCGATCCCAGGATCCTGGGTTCATGACCTGAGCCAAAGGCAGACGGTTAACTGACTGAGCCACCCAGGCTCCCCTGTACAAGGAGGTTATTAAATGCAGCATTATTTATAATAGCAAAATACTGGAAAGAATTAAAGTGTTTATTGTTAGGGACTGCTCAAATATATTATGGTACGTTCATACAGTGAAATTTTATGCAGTTGTAAAAAAATCAAGAAACTCTTTATGCACGGGTATAGGACAATCTCAAAAATATGTTTTTAGTGGACAAGTTGAAGAACAGTGTGGACTACGGAGTACTATTCGTGAAAAATATCTCCAGGAGGATATTTGAGGAACAAACACTACACGGAGGGGGAATGGGTACTGAAAAGGGGAAGGAGACTTTTCTCTTTTCAGTCTGTTTCCTGAATTTTGAATCAAGTGAATGTTACACGTTCTGATGAAAAAAAAATCTTTTTCTTAGGAGATAAAATTTTGAAATAAAACAAACATTACAGCAGAAATAACAAAATTCTTTTAGGTAAATTCAAACTAGCCAAGTGTTACGTTTCTTTCATCTGATGGATAAACTTTTCCACAATGCCATTGAGTCTTTCAGGTTCCATCAGTTTATTTACCAATTCCTGCTCAATAGCTATTAGGGCTAGACCGCTAAGCTTCTCTTGTCCCATGGTATGACATAAATATGTTTTAAGACGGGGCAGTGTAGAAAATGAATTTTCAGCATTTGAAGTAACTGGCCAAGACAAAGCAGTATATAATAACTTTGATATGCAAGGAATATTATTGTGAAGACCATGCTGGATAAACAAACAGCCAAGATTGATGAAGTTGATACGATCATAATCTATGACAAAATTAAGTTTTGCATATTGCCGATAAAATCTAAGTTCTGGGATGATGTCTGCATCAAGTTTATAAAATTCTTGGACATGTTTGGCTGTTGTTTCATTTAATGGTTCATTCCATTTAAATAACAGTTCTGAAATTTGCTTCATTTTGCAATAATCAAACTCTGAAAAACATAGCTTTAAATTATTTAATATAGTATCCAATCCTTGGTAATAAATATTAATTTTATATTGTTCTTCTGTTGAAGTAGGAAAAAACATACTATCTGAATTGCCAAGATCTACTGTTTTCTGAATTTTTCTTCTTTTCTGAAAAGAAGGTCTTTCAACTTCAAAACCTTTACTGGTTATTTTTTGACATATTTCCTCTGCTCCATCCCAGATAGTTTTGAAATAGGCATCATTTCTTTCAGATGATAAACATTCCAAAATTGCTTCTATTTTTGAAGACAATGAAAAAATATCTATGGTTTCACTTTGAAGCTCTTTGGAAAGAATTCCTGTAACACTTAACACTCGATAAAGAAATTTCAAACAAAAGACAAATTCAAATTTGGAAACCAGTATTAACAAATCACTCAATTCATCAGCTAAACTTGTGTTTGAAGAATGGCTTGATACAACTTCCAATGTTTCAATAATCTCTGGAAGGCCCTCAATCACAGACAGTAATATATGATCATGGACTGTCCAACATGATTGTGATGTATGTTTCTTGCATGTTTTGTTTTGACTTAGCTTAAAAATGTTTTGAAACTTTGCAGACATTTCCCCAGACATATGAATAGTGTTGAACAAAGAGTTGAGAGTATTTAGAGCACTTCGGAGTTCTTTCACTTCTTTACAAAACGTAATCACTGTTAAATCCAAAAAATGCGCATAACAATGTACGTACAAAGCTCTTGGCTCTTCTTTCTTGAATTCTGCTGCAATTTTATTAAACTGTCCTCTCAAATTAGTGGTACTATCATAGGCCTGGCCACATATCTTATTCAAATCAACTCCAATTTGCTGCAGGTAAGTTTTGATAGTCCCATGTAAGTCAGTCCCAGTCATCTCTTCAATATCTATGAAACCCAAGAATCTTTCTTTAATTAAGACAGCCTTTGACATTTTTTGTGGGTATCTTACACAAATCGAAAGCTGTTTTTTAGTGGCACTATCAGTTGTCTCATCACATATTATTGAAAAAGCTGAGGAGGCATTGATTTCATTCACAATATCTTGAAGCATTTCAGTCTTTATTATTTCAATAATATCATTTTGAATTTGTGTACTATTATAGAAGTCAACTTGTAAATTCGTAAGTCGAAATATTTCTTCTCCTTTATCTTTTGCTCTGATTTCTAACAGTTCTAAAAAATTGCCTTTATTCACAGATGAAATTGATTGGTCATTTCCTCTTAATGGTAAACACTGCTTCCCAAGAAATAAAATATTTTCAATTATAAGCTTTAGGTACTTTTTATTTCCTTCAATCTGTTTTGAATGAATAGATAAATTATCATTGACAGCTTCATCAAAAAATTGGTATTCCCTCCAATACTGCAATGACTTCAAATGCATCTCACTTTTTTCATGCTTTCTGAATTTTTCTAGAGTCTTTTTCCAATTAGAAATTCCTTGGGCTGTAAAAGATTCTCCTCCACAATTAAAATTTTTTTGGCAGAACAACTGGCATGAGTAACAGAATGTCACATCCTTTTTAATATTATTTTTCAAATGTTGGAAATTTGAACACCAAGATTTTTTAATGTTTCGTGACTTATCTTTAATTTTTTGTACTCTGGATGTAAATTTTGGGTGACATAGTCCTTCACTTATTTTCATAGATTTCATATTGTACGAAGCATCTTGGTCCGACACTTGATCTTTTTGTACTTCTACACTGGAGTCAACCGTAGGCTGACTGGGTATTGATGAAGATGGTGAAAGGCTTGGCTGTTCAACACTACTAGTAGCAACACCACTACTTGATTCACTGGGTAAACTCTTAGAAATTTTAGGGAGAAAAAGAAAAAAGCATTTGTTTGAACAGTTTTCAAATGATTAAAAATATCATACATATCTATTCTAACAACACAATAAAATGAATGGGTGAGTTACAATATGAGGTCCACTAGGGGGAAACATTAACAATTATTTATAATATAAAGTTGCAATCTAGATTTAGCATTAAATGTTCTAAGAATCTTTTGGTATGTAATTGTAATAAAAATAATTTTTATTGCTCATGTGACTTAGAATATTGAAAAAGGTAATAAAGAACCCAGAGGAAAAACTGTGACTAATAATACTTCTGTTTAAATATTCGTATTAATAATCTGAAGTCAAACCGGACATTTGGGAAATTGAATGTGAATACCAAAAGATGTTTCTTGCTCAACTTTTTTGAGCTCTTGGATAAAAACAGGAATGAATATGCTTGTATATATATATATGGACACACACACACACATATATGCACAAAATATGCTTAAAAAAGAAAAGACAGTGTCAAAAATATGAAGGACAAAACTTACATCTACAATGACATTTGCTGTTACTGAAGATACTGTATCTGCTAAAATAAAAGAGTATCATCAATTCAAGATCTTATGTGCCGTAAAATATATGCTATAAAATAGCATCATAAACTACAATTGCTTATTTCATATCAGACAACAAAAACAACCTTAGAATATAGATAGATTCATCAAGGATGGGAAACAGTGTGTATGTCAAGTACCCTTCCTATCAATTTTACCTTGTAAGACGTCCGAGTTCATGATGGGCAGGGAAACACGGGCATCCGCCAATGACACTATATTGCTTATAACTGGAGTTGTATCTTTCTTTGGAGAAAAGGTATCCGTTGAGGCATCATGTACCATGGAAACATTTACTGAAAAAAATAAAAAGATTTCGCAAAACCAAGCAGAATCAATCAATCACAAAGCATTGTTTAAAATAAATGTTTCAACAAACAATGCAAAAATCTAATAGCCTGGGGCACCTGGGTGGCTCAGTGGGTTAAGTGTCTGCCTTCAGCTTGAGTCACGATCCTGGGGTTCTGGGGCTGACCCCACATCTGGCTCCCTACTTGGTGGGGAGCCTGCTTCTCCCTCTCCCTCTCTGCTCCCCCTATTTGTACACACCCTCTTTCTTGGTCAAATAAGTAAATAAACAAAATCTTAAAATCTAATAGCTTTAGGTATTGCTGGATATTGGAGTACGGCTTAAGGATGGCCAGGTTCTTTAGGATAACACATTAATAACCTTAGACTGGTAACTTATATTTTCCATTTTTTAACCTATTTTACCTTTGCATACAAGTTCTCAGAAATTACCCACAAAGAAAGAGATTCCTTTAGAATTTCCCAATGGAAAAAAAAAAAAAAAAAAAAGAATTTCCCAATGGGTATCATTTTTCATCATTTAAAAGAAGATTTTATTATTTTTTTTTAAAGCAATCTCTATACCCAACATGGATCTCAAACTCATAACCCCAAGATTGAGAGTTGCTCACTCTACGACTGAGCCAGCCAGGCGCCCTAATGGGTATCATTTCTAACTCCTTCAAGATGCATAACCCTCAACAAGAATGGAGCTAGACTAGTGTCTAAGCTAGTATTGCAAAGATTTCTATAATGAGCCAGTTTACAATGTACAAGCCCATGGCATCATTTACTTTAAGTAAATAGGACCAATGGTCCTATATGAGGCTCTTTGATGGGATACAAAGTTGGTCTTGGGTTACTTGTGCTTTTTTCTTTTTTTCTTTTTTTTTAAAGATTTTATTTATTTATTTGAGGGAGAGGCAGTGTGAGAGAGCATGAGCGAGGAGAAGGTCAGAGGGAGAAGCAGACTCCCTGTGGAGCTGGGAGCCTGATGTGGGACTCGATCCCGGGACTCCGGGATCATGACCTGAGCCGAAAGCAGTCGTCCAACCAACTGAGCCACCCAGGCGTCCCACTTGTGCTTTTCTATTAGTGAACTTCCAAGTATTTCCAACTAGTTCTATTTCCTGTAAAAATGTGGCTAGTAACCTTGTTTTTACAAACCAGGGCTAAGTACAAAATTCTGTATTTTAACACAAAAATCTTTATTAAATAAATATTAAATCTCTGGTTGTGAAGTAGGCTTCCTTTTATATAAACTACTGGAGGGGCGCCTGGGTGGCTCAGTCGTTAAGCATCTGCCTTTGGCTCAGGTCATGATCCCAGAGTCCTGGGATCAGGTTCTCTGCTTGGTGGGAAGCCTGCTTCTCCCTCTCCCACTCTCCCTGCAGTGTTCCCTTCTCTTGCTGTGTCTCTCTGTCAAATAAATAAATGAAATCTTAAAAACAAAACAAAACAAAAAACTACTGGAAAACTTTTTTTAAAATGTAGGCTCCTTGCCCAATGTGGGGCTTGAACTCATGACCCTGAGATTAAGAGTTACATGCTCATGCCAGCCAGGCACGCCTGGAAAACATTTTTTTGCAATGAATTTTACATTGTTTTGACTTTTTTTTTTTTTTTTTAAAGATTTTATTTATTTGTCAGAGAGAGTGAGCACAGGCAGACTAAGAGTGGCAGGCAGAGACAGAGGGAGAAGCAGACTCCCCGCTGAGCAAGGAGCCCGATGTGGGACTCGATCCCAGGATGCCGGGATCATGACCTGAGCCGAAAGCAGCCGCCCAACCAACTGAGCCACCCAGGCGTCCCTACATTGTTTTGACTCTTAAGTCAGTTTAATTTCAAGATGAATCAAGGTTATAAAGGAAAGCAGTAATATTCTTCAACATTTTCTAAACCTCTGATAACTGCTAAACAAGTATTACCTGTAGATGATTCCATCTTAGTTTTATTGTAAGCAGAGAAACAATTAATAGAACAAAAAAGGTCTGTCTTCCCCAAGTCACTGGTGGTCTCAATCATTTCATCTGAGGGCTTCAATGATTTGCAAGGAACAGATGTAAGTGTTTTGGTTGGTTTCTGTTTAGAGATTAAAGTAATATTCATATTCCTGGTATATGACATATATTATTAACAAACAAAAATATACTCATCATTACTGCTCTTAGTTATAACATGACAAGTGATGATAATAAAGCCACATTTTTATACTTTCTTAAAAACCAGAAAAAAATAATGAGCACTGGGTATTATATGCAACTGATCAATCACTAAACTCCACCCTTAAACTAATAATACCCTAATATGTTAACTAACTTGAGTTAAAAAGAAGAGAAAAAAAAGGCACTACAGATCACAGTGACAAAAATGAAAGAAACAGTCAATAAATCACTATTTGTGTTATTTACCAGATATCTATTAGTAGCTGCAGTAATATATAAGCAAGCAATGAAGAAAGAGGTCACAGAATATGTTCATCACTCCAGGCAATCAAAGCCAACTGGATAAATAAACGAAAGTCTTACAATCATCTCTCTTTCCTCAATTCCACTTTGAATATTAATTCAGGAAAGCCTTCCATTGGTACTGAGGAGGAGCCAGAAAACAGCTGTGGGAATCACTGTTTTTCTAGGCTAACCTCATGGTAAAAATTACAAGCATATTGTAAGAAAGTAGCATATAAGCAGTAAAATACATAGAATATACTGCATTCAGGGGGCGCCTGGGTGGCTCAGTGGGTTAAAGCTTCTGCTTAGGCTCAGGTCATGATCCTGGAGTGCTGGGATCGAGCCCCACATTGGACACTCTGCTCAGCGGGGAGCCTGCTTCCTCCTCTCTCTGCCTGCCTCTCTGCCTACTTGTGATCTCTGTCTGTCAAATAAATAAATAAAATCTTAAAAAAAAAATTCTTTCAGCTTAAAAAAAAAAGAATATAGTGCATTCAGGAAACAGTAAGTGTTCAAAGGTAAATGATAAATGATATAAACTGTGAGACGTACCATCTATTGTTTCTACTGAAAACAGGAACCATCATTCCTGGAATTAAGGCAATGGTGAACAAGAACTGCTTTTGGGGGCATAAGTACAAGGACAAATGAAAATATCTTATGCAGGGGCTACTGGGTGGCTCAGTCTGTTAAGTGTCTGCCTTCAGCTTGGGTCATGATCCCAAGGTCCTAGGACTGAGTCCTACATCAGGGTCCCTGCTCAGCAGGGAGTCGGCTTCTCCCTCTGTCGTGCCCCCATTCTCTTTCTAATAAATAAATGCTCAAAAAAAAAAAAAACAGATTTTCTTTTGTGAAAAACAGGGTATCGGCAAAGGAACAATGAAACAAAAAACAGAGCATAACTCTGAAAATTCTTTTATACTTTACTAGTATGACTTTTTATATTTTGAGAAGTCCTAGGGGGCCTGGGTGGCTCAGCTGGTTAAGCATCTGCCTTTGGCTCAGGTCATGATCCCAGAGTTCTGGGATCGAGTCCCACATGAGGCTCCCTGCTCAGCAGACAGTCTGCTTCTCCCTCTCCCTCTGCCCTTTCCCCTCCACTCATGCTGTCTCTCACTTTCTCTAATAAATAAAATCTTAAAAAAAAAAAAAAAAAAAAAAAAAAAAAAAGATGTGGCTTACAAATGACCTATTTGAGTTATTCAGACTTGATGAGAATCCTATCTCCAACTGCATGATTTTAAGGAAGAATTTATGGAGTAAAAAAAGGGTCTCAAAGCATCATCTGAACAAGTAAGACAACTTCAACCCTACCTCATGAAAGGGGCTCAGACCATTAACTGCATTAATTTCATTTATTTTATTTTAAAGATTTTATTTATTTTTCAGAGAGAGCACAAAGCAGGGGGAGTGGCATGTGGAAAGGGAGAAGCAGACTCCCTTCTGAGCAGGGAGTCTGATGTGGGCCTCGATCCCAGGATTCTGGGATCATGACCTGAGCTGAAGGCAGATGCTCAACTGACTGAGCCACCCAGGCGTCCCTGCATTAATCTCATTTAGTCCACCAAAGCAGGACCTAGCTTCTCTGCTCTCAGAACCTCCCACCCCAGGCTCTCCTACCAGAAATAGGGGATTATTTCTCATTTAGAAAAGCATGTGACATTCTGGGTTCATTTTAACCTTGCTTAGGTATAAGAAAACATAGAATTAAAAACACTTTGTGGTTGAATCTTACTGATCAGTAGGCCATTATTTCTACTACATATATACATTTTTAGATTTATTTATTTATTTGACACACACACACACACACACACTCAGAGAGGGAGCACAAGCAGGGTGAGCGGGAGAGGGAGAAGCAGGCCTCCCGCAGAGCAGGAAGCCTGATGTGGGGCTCGATCCCAAGACTCTGGGATCATGACTTGAGCTGAAGGCAGATGCTTAAGGACTGGGCCACCCAGGTGCCCCCCTGCTATCTTTATTTGCAGTTTATAAACAACCTTTTATGTGCTTGGCTTTTCTTGAAGGCCAGATCATCCTGAGATTCTTGAGGAAAATCTCCATACAGCATTTACCATGAATTGTTATGTAAGAGAAACTGTCAGAAGTCTTTTATTTAATCTTCTTCACTATCCTATCAACTGAAACTATTCCCAATGGTACTAAAATCTAATCCCCACATTTTCCTAAAGTGGGACCATCCACAAGTGAACTAATGGAAGAGACTCAGTCTTGGATGTTTCATTTGAGTCCCATGTAGTCAAATTCAAATGGAGTGGTTCTTTTTTTTTTTTCTTCTTTTTTTAAAGATTCTTATTTATTTGACAGAGAGACAGAGAGGAAACACAAGCAGGGGGAGTGGGAGAGGGAGAAGCAGGCCTCCCGCTGAGCAGGAGGCTAGATCCCAGAACCCTGGGATCATGAGCGGAGCTGAAGGCAGCCATCTAACGACTGAGCCACTCAGGTGCCCCCAATGGAGTGGTTCTTACTTCATGCAACATATATTCCTATCTGCTTATATGCTAGAATACTCGGAGCTATTTTTTTTTCACTATTTTACTTACTTGAGAGAGAGAGTCTGCGACTGCGTTGGGTGGGCAAGGGAGAGGGACAAGCAACTCTGCACTGAGCAGAGTGGGATTCATGTGCGGCTTGATCTCATGACATGAGCTGAAATCAAGGGTCAGATGTTTAACTGACTGAACCACCCAGGCACCCCACTCTTTGAACTATTAGAGTAATGGGACTGTCCTTTCATCTGAAGCATATGAACTGGGCTAGAGACAGTTTAACAGGAAGCCCCACAGTTCTCAAGACAGACCGTGATGAAGTTGTTGGAGTGAAACCGAAAACAGGCATTACTATAGACAGTGTTTCACATACTGGTATTTCACTTCATATTGAATCTAGGATTTAAAAAAATTCAGTAAAAATTCTAATATTTAAGCAAAATAATCAGAATCCCTAAAAGTTAAAAAAAATGCAACTTACAACAATAGTCTTCTGACACATGCTGCACTTGGTTAAAATGCTATTAGTGCATATTGTAACAAATGCTTTTCTTTTTTCTTCATATGATGAAAGACAAGATTGGCTGCAAAAATTCTTGCTAGAGGTATTATCTTCTAGCTGAACACTGATCACATCCTTTAAATTTAAGATGTCTCTAAAAAGAAAAACAAGGGTACCATTAAACACTTTTATAAGTTAAAGCATTCCTTCAAGTAACCCTCTCCCATTTCATCCACCTTTAGACTGTGCAACAGCACTGACATCAGCCTTGAAATAAGAAAACCTGAATTTGGTATTTAGTTCCAGGACTTACATTACATAATGATGGGTGAGTCATGTATACGCCCAAATGTTGATTCCCTCATCTATAAAGTAAGGGTTATAAAACACAACTGATAGCCATTTTGAGGATTACCTAGTTTATATTAGTTAGTGCTAGTGGTAATAGAATGATGATGAGAAATCACATATTCATACCTGACCAACTCTGTAATCTGCAAGACAGAGGATATCATAATATGGTCTGAAAAACTCCAGGGATCCTCCAGATACTTTTAGAGGGGTCCACCAGAACAAAATTATTTTGTTAAAATATTATTTGTCCAAAAAAAAAAAAAGCCTTTTTCCCTATGTTAACATTTCAACTGATGGTGCAAAATCAACCCCGGGCTGCTGCAATTCCACTCCTAGATATGTACCCCAAAGAACTGAAGTACTCAAAAAAGTATAAATACACTATTTCAAACAGCTAACATATAGGGACCCTGGGCTGGGTCAGTTGGTAAAGCACATAACTCTTGATCTCAGGGTTTTGAGTTCAAGCCCCACACTGATTCTGGAGCTTACTTTAAAAAAAAAAAAAAAAAACAACAAAAAAAACCAGCTAAAAGATGGAAATAACCCAAATGTTCACCAATGAATGAATGGATAAACAAACTGTGCTATATCCATACAATGGAATATTACTTAGCTACAAAAAAGGGAATGAAGTGCTGCTCTACATAATACATATAAACCTTGAAAACATTATGCTAAAAGATGGACACAAAAGGTTGTATGCTGTAGGATTCCATTAATATGAAATATTCAGAATAGATAAATCCATAAATAGAATGCAGATTGGTGGTTACCAGGGGCTAGAGAGAGAGGAGACCTCTGGGGAGAAATTGCCTACTGGATACACTGGAGTAACAGAAATGTTCTGAACTAGACACTGTGAGTGTACTACTACTGATGTGGCTTTTTGTTATGTGAATTTCACCTCAATACATTGGAAGAAAAAAAAAATGATGCTGGGTCAAACGCCAGAGCCTTAGCACAAATTAAGGCAGTTGAACCAAAATGTCCTAGTATGTGTTACTCAATGCCACACATTTGCTGTAAAAATCATTTACTTTATTAAACTTCATCCTTGACAACCTCTTTTTAGTATTTTGTGTGATATGGGACACAAGCATTAAGTAATACTCTTGCACACTAAAGTGTGATGGTTTTCTCAACGTAAATCTCACGTGGGAATGTTAAGAGTTACAACTTGAGGTAGCTACGTTTTTTCACGGAATACATTTTTACTTGAAAGAACAAACTATTATCTAGAGTGGGTAGCTGGCAAATATTTTCTCAAAAATTGAAGTAACATTGTTACTTCAAGATAAACAACTGGCAGTATTCATTGCCAATGATAAAAGTTGAACTTTTGTTGAACACCAGAATTTAGGAATGTTTGCCATCTCCAACTTGATTGCTTCCCAATAGTTAAGCTTTCCTGATAAGATTAGTGGTGATTTTCTGGTGTGTGTTTATTTTAACAAATGTGATTTTTAAAATATTGTATAAAGAAATATGCCAACATGGGTGCCTGGGTGGCTCAGTTGGTTGAGTGTCTGCCTTCAGCTCAGGTCATGATCCCAGGGTCCTGGGATCAAGCCCTGTATCAGGCTCTCTGCTCAGCAAGGAGCCTGCTTCCTCCTCTGCTCATGTTCATGCGCTCCCTCTCTCTCGGTCTCTCTCTCTCTTCTCTAATAAAATCTTAAAAAAAAAAAAAAAAGAAAAAAGAAATTTGCCAACATTTGGAAGATCTACATAACTCAGTGAACCAGTATTTTCCAAATTATGACAGCATGTAACAAAAATCATTCATTCATGGGTTAAAAAAAACCATTCAAAATAGAAAAGACTGATGTATTTTAACCTAACAGTACAAAAAAATTCATGGTTTCAATTTTCACGTTGTAACTAACGTTTAAGTACTATCTGTTTTCTGGTAGAGTATCAGAGAACCCACAAAATCTAAATGGCTATTGAAAAACACTCTTCCCTTTTCCAAATACATATTTGTAGTACCAGATTTTTTTCACACTTCAGCCAAAACAACATTTTCCAATAAAATGAACACAGAGGCAGATGTGAAAACCTAGTCAGACACTGAAGTGGTTTGCAAAACTGGTAAAATAATGCTTAATGTATATGGCTATTTTTCATTAAAAATATTTATGTTAATAAGCACTGAGTTATTATTTTTTTTTAAAAAGATTTTATTTATTTGACAGAGATCATAAGTAGGCAGAGAGGCGGGCAGAGAGAGAGGAGGAAGCAGGCTTCTCGCCAAGCAGAGAGCCCGATGTGGGGCTCAATCCCAGGACCCCGGGATCATGACCTGAGCTGAAGGCAGAGGCTTTAACCCACTGAGCCACCCAGGCATCCCTGAGTTATTTTTAAGTGAGTTAATAATTAGCTTAAAAATTTCTCAGTTTCAATTTCTAACATAGTATATATTGGTAGTTAGAACCTACTACTACATCAACTAAAGCTTGCTGGCTCTTCAAAAATTTCTGAGAGTGTAAAGGGGTCCAGAGACCAGAAATGTTTGAGAACTGCCATATCTGGCTACTCAGAATATTAATTTTGCAGGATAATAGTTTTCCAGATGAAATATTCCTAAAATCAACACTATTTTAACATTTCAACACTTACAAATTTTCGGTGTATTATGATTTTCCTCCTTCTTAAATAGACGGTACCAAAGATAACAGGTTCATTTCATTATCATGAATCAATTGTTTACTGGTTTAAAATATAGCTCTAAAAGCAGTATCTGAGGGCACCTGGGTGGCTCAGTTGGTTGGGCGACTGCCTTCTGCTCAGGTCATGATCCCAGAGTCCTGGGATCGAGTCCCACATAGGACTCCCTGCTCGGCAGGGAGTCTGCTTCTCCTGCTGACCTCTCTCCTCTCATGCGCGCTCTCTCTCTCTCTCTCTCACAAATTAAAAAAAAAAAAAAATTTAAAAGCAGTATCTGAATTGTGCTATCCTTGTACTTCATTTGACAAAAATTTTTCTAGGATTCACTGTGTACCAGCTAGTGTTTAGGCATGGGGAATATAAAGATGAGTATGATCTGGTTCCGAATCTCAAGAGGTTCATAGTCTAGGGGCGCCTGGGTGGCTCAGTCAGTTAGGTGTCTGCCTTTGGCTCAGGTCATGATCCTTGGGTCCTGGGATTAAGCCCTGCATCCAGCTCCCTGCTTGGCAGAGAGCCAGCTTCTCCCTCTCCCTCCGCCCTTCCCCCTGCTCCTTCTCCCTCTCAAATAAACAAAGAAAATCTTAAAAGAAAAAAAAAAAAGTTTCATAGTCTAACTGGGACAATATCAATTCTTTCCTTAAAAACATTAATTTTATGATTAATGCTGTGGGAAATATGAACACTACTAAAACACAAATCATGGAACAATGACTCTGAGTGGGTGGGGGAGTTAGTGAGAGGAGAGGAAAAATGGTGCGGCAACAGACAAGAGGTAAAGATATTTCAGGAAGACCTTTAAAACAGAAAAAAATTAGCAGATGGAAAGGGAGATAGAAGAAATTGCATCGGCAGGAGCATGGAAGTCTGAAAATACTTACTGATATTTACTGCTACCAGTATACTAGATTCCTGGTTTCTAATCTATGGAGTCATTACAAATAAAAAACTAAAAAATAAATTTTCTTAATAGTGCCTAAAATTAGCTTAAACAAACTCTAAGCACAGGACTGAACAACTTTCCTACATGTAAGTGTTATATAGTCTTAGTGCACCAGGATATTCTGAACTCTGTTGATAGCGATCAGAATCTCTGGTTGGTTTCAACTAGGATACTAAAATGCAGAAATGACACTTCTTAAATACATTGCTCTCAAAAGAGGTCTTATCTTTCCAACATGATTTAAAAATGCCATTTCAAAGATAACTTTTATTTGGTTCATGAAACAGAATAAATACCGCATTAACTGAAAACAGATTTTAAATCATTGCTATGAAAGAAACCTCAATACTAACTGATAATTAGCTAAAATCCTGAGAACTATGGCAGCACCTGGGTGGCTCAGTTGTTGGGTGTCTGCCTTCAGCTTGGGTCATGATCCCAGGATCCTGGGATCGAGCCCCGAATTGGGCTCCCTCCTCGGTGGGAGGCCTGCTTCTCTCTCTCCTACTCCCCCTGCTTGTGTTCCCTCTCTTGTTGTGTCTCTGTCAAATAAGTAAATAAAATCTTAAAAAAAAAAAAAAAAAAAAATTCTTGGGGCGTCTGGGTGGCTCAGTGGGTTAAGCCTCTGCCTTCGGCTCAGGTCATGATCCCAGGGTTCTGGGATCGGGCTCCGCATCGGGCTCTCCGCTCAGCGAAGAGCCTGCTTCCCCACTCTCTCTCTGCATACTTGTGATCTCTGTCAAATAAATAAAAAAAAATCTTAAAAAAAAAAATCTTGAAAACTATGTATTAATACAAGATGCTAATAAATATGGAAGAAAAAAATTTTCTAAAAAAGCAGCACAGGTTACTTTGAACAATGGATGGCCTCTCCCAGCCTAAGCATTACTACCAACTTTCTACCGACCTATACAATGGTATTTTGTATCCAAAAAATTTGTATTCCAAAGGAAGTAAAACCTTTTTCATTATTTTTGCTCATATTGGATTTCTCCATCTTAGAAAATGACTTACACACTATATCTTTCCTGTTTCAGCCTTTTCAATCTGTCTGGGAGATCTGCTGAAGATGGATAATGGGTAAACTCCAAACACAGTAACATGATACCTTAACTTCTCAGGACCTCAGTTTCCTCAAAACCAAAAGAAAATGTTTGGACTGGATGATCTCTAAGGTCCCTTCCAGTTTTATGATTCTGCAGAGAAAGAAAGCAGACTGAAGAGAGTGCCTTATAGCCCTTAGCAAAAAGGAAAAAAGACATAGTATTGAAGGGTTGAAAAAACACAAGAGAAAGGTTGAGTTTCAGGTAGTAAGACTCAAAGCAAAGGATAATACCCAACGCAGCAGCCAAACAAAGAGCTGAAGCAACCAATAAAAAGGGTTTGTGAGTTTGTTAAGAGAATAACAGTGATAATTAACATTTATTGAGGTCTTATTATATGCCAGTATTGTTCTGATCACTTGAATCTATTATTTAATGCTCATAATTCTTATGTGCATTTAATAAAACAAATGGGAATACTAAGAAGTTCTCAATGTTTGACTTTAGCATATAGATGTATCATCTGGGAACAAATGCAATCTGATTCGGTAGGCCTGGGTAAGGCCTGAGATTCTGTATTTTTATTTAATAAGCTCCCAAATGATATTGATACAGCTCCTATTAGTTGCACAATATAAACGTAAATGGAGGAAGCAAGATTTAAATTATGGGAATCTGATTCCAAAATAAGATATATGAAAGGAATTTATTATATTTACAAACAAAACCAGTGGCTTACGTGTTTTTTGTTCTGAAACAAAAATATTTAAAATTTAGCATTAGCATTTAATGAGTACTTAACAAACCAGAATTATACTACAATAGAAGTCTCAAAGCACACTGATCCTTTATACATCTCAGGGTAGAGTTCGAAGTTTTTTTGTGTGTGTTTTTTTAAAGATTTTATTCATTTGAGAGCCAGAGAGCAGGAATGGGGTGGTGGAAGCAGAGAGAGAAGGACAAGCAGGCTCCCTGTGGAGCAGGCAGCCTGATGCAGGGCTCGATCCCAGGATCCCAAGATCATTACCTGAGTTGAAGGCAGACGCTTAACAACTGAGCCACCCAGGCACCCCTCAAAGTCTTGGAGATTTTCCACTAATTCATTATAAAGTTACTACTACTTCCTATATAATATATATATCTCTGTCAAATAAATAACTATATATATATATAAACACACACACACACATATATAGTTAGCAATACAAACCCCAACAGTAGCTCACTGAAATCTTGAAAAAATTATATCCTTCCCTGTTTACCTATGACTATTCAATTTTGCAAAAGAATCAAATAACTTCATTTACCATTACGAGAAACATTATTTTATAATATTATACCCTGGCTACTTTATACCTTGGAAGATTCAAATTATTCTATGATTAATGTGATAGTGGTTTGCACCCTATACTGTTAAATGATAAAAAGAGTATATAATAATCCCATTTATAGAGAATTTCAAATGAAAGGGTAGGAAAGTCAGTTTCAGTAGTCACATTATATTTAAAGCTGCAGAGAAACAGAACTCCTTATGTTTTAATTTCCGTAAATCTCTCAACAAAAAAAGTATGTCTGAAGAATCTAACAGAGGAACTGAAAGCAGAAGCAGCTTCCTTTCACTAAACCAAGGTGATACTTCTTCAGAAAAATGAAAATAGGGGCGTCTGGGTAGCTCGGATGATTAAGCATCTGCCTTTGGTTCAGGTCACGATCCTAGGATCCTGGGATCAAGCCCCACATCAGGCTCCCTGTTCGGCGGGGAGCCTGCTTCTCGTTCTCCCTCTGCTGTTCCCCCTGCTTGTGCTCTCTCGCTCTCTCTGTCAAATAACTAAAATCTTAAAAGAAAAAAAAAGTTAAGAAAAGAAAAAATGAAAATGTAGACAGTTACAACCAAGACTCTGATCAAAATCTATGTAGGGAAGTAAAAGGGACATAATTTAGAATTATATACTTTGAGCAGTTTGAACAAGTTCTCCTGGGAAGAGCTGGTGAATTGGCAGATGAAATGTATTCAGTGATGCACAGCGTGGAGCAGAAAAGCTGAGTAGACCCTTTCCTCTGATAAGCAGTTTGCCCCTTCTGAAGAATTTTTTTACAACCACAACAGGAAACCTGAATAGCTGTGGTTGAAACTGAAGGAAGCATTTTATTCATGCCAGATGATGTCAGGGAAAGCTGAATGCCTGTAGTCAACTGTGGAGCTATAAACACAAAACAGGAAGGAAAAAAATTAGTATTTATGTAAAATTAAGTATGCATTCTTTTATTTTTCTTTTAGAGGTTACTTCTGGACTTGAAACTCCAAAGAAACAATGCACTATTCAAAGACATTCTAAAAAAGCAGAGTAAACTGGCTATTACATTGGTTAGAATAAATATGATTAAGTAATTCTATTACCACTGTCTGAAAATGTAGTGTTTATTTTCAGTTCATTCTCCTGAGTTTTAGGTTGCTGGGCTTGACAATACTCCTAAAAAAAAAAAAAAAAGAAAGAAAGAAAGAAAGAAAATAATGACTTCAATGTGCATAAAACAACTAGTTATTCTATAGAAAATAATAATAAATTATGTTTAAAGTTTGTGCAGTGAATTGTATAACTGAACTGAACCACAGGTGAGCACTCCCCTTTTGGTGCCCTTTGGCTGACACATTATATTCTATACATTATATATATTATATTCTATCATATCTAGATGTGACTTCAGTAATTTTTGTTCATGTAGTCTTTCCATAAGCTACCACAAATAGAGGAGACACTCTCAATAGTGACACCTATTTTACCTCCTTAGTTCTAATCAATAACAGCTAACGGTCTTCATAAAGACCTTAAACACAAAAGTTGTTGGAGAGGGCTGAATAAGTCTTAGAGAGGACTTTTCAGAGCAGCAGGCACTCTAAACATGATCTATGTGTTTCAATGTTCATAGATTTGAAGAAGCAACCAATACTTCCTAGATGGACAACATTCCCCAGTGTCACCAACTCAATGGGAGTCCTATCCTTACTTAATACTGATTTACTTTAGGCTATTTCTAAACAGAATACCAGAAATAAAGTAAAGTTGAATTTACTTTTTGTTTCCTTAGAAATTTCAGCTAGTTCATATATAAACATTTTAAGGAAATGTGGCATTACATACAGAACATTAACAGCTTGAGTCAGTCTATCATTTACAGGTTCTTTAGCATATAGTACATCTAAAGAAGTTTATGAATAAACATGGAACTGATTTGGGCAAAATAACTACAAAGAAAAAAATTCTAAGAATTCATAATGTACTAAGTAGAGCCAGGAGCATAATAACATTTAATTAGTTATTCATATTGTTTCAAGTTAAGAAAAATGAAAACAAAAATATGTTAACCTTGGCTAGGCCCATAATATCCTAAGCAATCCTTTTATTAATCCAAAACCCAATTCCAAACATCCATTTTTTGCTCAGATCATATTCTTCCATATAGTTGTGATGGCACTTCACGCCATATACCCTGCATTATTTGACCAGCTGCTTAGGGGAAGATAAAATTGTGGGTTTTTAGCCAGTAAACCAGCATCTGCATAACTGAAATGCATACTTAAATGCTGCTCTACAAAAAAGAAAATAAAGTAGGATATTTACCTGAGCATTTTCAGGTTCCGTCTTAATTTCATCTAGCTGTCCCAGTTGTGGTGTCCCCACTTTGTCACATTTACCATCTATCGGTGATTCTTTCATCTTGGTGTTTGATGCAAAGGAATCCTCCTGTTCCAAACTAATGAATTTCTTTTTGGGGAATAGTATCTAGGTTCCTAAAATATGAATTGATGGGAGAGTCTGATTTTAAAATTAGTCCTTTTAAATATGGTTAACTTCTGAAAGCAGAAAGGGTCTTTAGACAGCTTGGACTCAAGGTTCCTTCACAGTGCAACACTGGGTTTGTTCCCTTCATCCATTACTCCCCAACATAGCTTTGTTATATAATTCTTTGGTAGACCTATCTACACGCTTTCTTCTAGTTTTCTCCACTTCTATTCTCCCAGGCCTGCCTAGAGCATAAGCTCACCAAACACACAAGTTTACTTTTAACTTAAATAGTCTTAGAAAACATAGTCTTCTATCCAAGGTTAATCCAAATACCTGTACTCATTACCTCTCCTCTGCCACTGCCCTCTTACAGAGCCGATTATTATTTATATGCTCTTCAACTCCTCTTTCCCTCCTTATTGGTTCTTCACATATAAATACTCAAATACATTCAAGGATCCAACTTTTTTTTTTTTTTTTTTTAATTTGACAGAGAGATCACAAGCAGGCAGAGAGGCAGGCAGAGAGAGAGGAGGAAGCAGGCTCCCTGCTGAGCAGAGAGCCCGACGCGGGGCTCGATCCCAGGACTCTGAGATCATGACCTGAGCCGAAGGCAGCGGCCTAACCCACTGAGCCACCCAGGCGCCCCAAGGATCCAACTTTTAAAGCTACTGCCTTCTCTCTGGCCACTCCCTTTCCTCACCCTTGAACCTCTGTCTCCTTGAATCCTATGATTCCAAGGCCTATTTCTCCTCCTATCTCTTTGCCAGTCTTCTTCTCAAATATTTATTTCACCTGCTTCTAAAATACTTGTGTTCTGGGGTGCCTGGGTGGCTTAGTTCTTAGTTAAGTATTTTCCTTCGGCTCAGGTCATGATCCTGGGGTCCTGGGATAGAGCTCTGACTCAAGCTCTCTGTTCTACTTCTCCACCACCCCCAGCTTGCGCTCTCTCTCAAATAAATAAATCTTTAAAAAAATAAAAATATTTGTGTTCCTCCAAAGCACAATTCCACAGGACTCTTTCTCACTTGTTCCTTGGGCATAACCTTGGATTCAACCATCATTTATAGGCTGATTTCCCCCTATATTTCTAAGCTCCAGCCCATATACCTAATTGCCTACTAAGTATCTCCACTCGGATGCTCCACAGGTCCCTCAAATTCAAGAGACTTAAAACTATATTCTTATAAAATCCCAAAGCCTGCTTTACACGTTTCCTTTCTTGGTAAAATCAACTATCCTATATACCCAATCTCCCAAACCAAAAAACTAGGGGTAATCCTAAGTTCCTCTTCCCTTAAAGTTCCTACATCTAATCACCAAAGTGGGTCAATATAAACGTTCTAAATATGTTTTGAATCTATTTTCCATTTACACCTCATGCCTGCCCCTCCTCCCCCATTAATGGATTCCTTTTTGGTAACTATATAAGATAGTTAAAATCCAAAAATCAAAATAAAGAAGATTGCTGCACATTCAGGCTTAAAAAATAATTCCATTTTATAGCTTTTGAGGAACTACAAGTGACTTTTTTTTTTTTTTTTTAAGATTTTTATTTATTTGAGAGAGAGCCTGTGTGTGCACAAGCAGGTGGGAGGAACAGAGGTAGAGGGAGAAGTAGCTCTCCTGCTGAGCAGGGAGCTGAGCTGAGCTGAGCTGGGCTTGATCTAGGACCCTGAGATCATGACCTAAGTCAAAGGCAGACGCTTAACCATCTGAGCCACCCAGGTGCCTCCTTCAACGGCCTTTTGATTGCTCAGCCCCAATGCCCCTATTTCCAGGGCAGACTGGTTCCCTCCGTCTTCTTTTCTCTCATCTTTGGTCCTTTCCCCACTTTTCTGGTAGCTTTTACTGAAAGTACCTATTCTAGAGCAGAAAACTGAATGAGTAAGGCCTGTGAAGTGCAATAAAAGCTCTATGGCCTCTGCCCAGCCCATGTGAGCATTACACACAACCAGCAAAGCAAAACTCACAGGAAATTAACTACTAGACTGTCATTCACCTGAAAGAAAATATGCAAGTCTAAAAATCAATAAAACAAAGCATCTATGAGCTTTTGCATCTTGGAGTCCCTTCAAATATGTCAGTTATCACACCAATAGGCAAATAATGGAAAACACCTTGAAAGTGTAATTAATTAATCTAAAATATATTTCTGAAGCAGGGAAAACAGTAAACAACATTTCTTTAGCTATCAGAAAAAACAAAAAGAGCAAAAAACATGTATGAAATATAAATTCAGTACTTCTTTTTCCAACAAGATGCACATTAGAGTAAATTAAGCCCTAGAAACCTTTTTTAATTTTTTTTTATTTTTAAAGATTTTATTTATTTGACAGACAGAGATCACAAGTAGGCAGAGAGGCAGGCAGAGAGAGAGAGAGAGAGAGAGAGGAGGAAGCAGGCTCCCCGCTGAGCAGAGAGCCGATGTGGGACTCGATCCCAGGACTGAGACCATGACCTGAGCTGAAGGCAGAGGCTTAACCCACTGAGCCACCCAGATCCCCCATTTTTTTTTTTTTTTTTAAAGATTTTATTTTGGGTGTGCCTGGTTGGCTCAGTTGGAGAAGCATGAGTGGGGTTTGAACTCATGACCCTAGGATCAAGAGTCACATGCTCCTCCAACTGAGCCAGGTAGGTGCTCTGAAACCTTCTTTAATATAATCTATCTCTAGTCGTACCTGGGGATAAACCATGTATGTCGCAGAGTAGTAATAGTCCTAGGATAAATGTGGCACATGTTCCTGCTAGTTAATACCACTTGGTAATAACCAATTAAAACATTTTAATTTAAACCGAAGAGGATTATATCATGAAGCAGAAAACCAAATTCACATTTTTAAAAAAGATTTTATTTATTTATTTGACAGAGAGAGAGAGAGCACAAGCAGGGGGAGAGGCAGGGAGTGGGAGAAGCAGGCTCCCTGCTCAGTCGGTTAAGTGTCTGTCTAGGGCTCAGGTCATGATCTCAGGGTCCTTGGATTGAGTCCCACATTGTTCAGCAGGGAGCCTGCTTTTCCTCTGCCTGCTGTGGCTATTGCTTAAGCTCTCAATGTCTCTCTCTCTCTGACAAATAAATAAAGTCTTTTTTTTTTTTTTTTTTTAAGATTTCATTTATTTATTTGCCAGAGAGAGAGAGAGAGAGAGTGAGCGAGCACAGGCAGGCAGAGTGGCAGCAGAGGCAGAGGGAGAAGCAGGCTTCCCGCCGAGCAAGGAGCCCGATGTGGGACTTGATCCCAGGACGCTGGGATCATGACCTGAGCCGAAGGCAGCCGCTTAACCAACTGAGCCACCCAGACGTCCCTAAATAAAGTCTTAAAAAAAAAAAAAAGACTAGTAAGTCTAGGGGTGCCTGGTTGGCTCAGTCCAGTCGCCAGAGCACAAAACACCTGATCTCAGGGGTCATAAGTTCAAGCCCTATATTGGGTGTACAGATAACTTAAAAAAAAAAAAAAAAAAAAAAAGAGATGATAAATCCAGGCACAACAGATAAATTAACAGGCTTTACCCCTGAACACACCTGACAGGACAGAGTAGAGGAAAAAGGCCAAGCAGAAAACAGCAGCACACTTAGCTAAGGAGATGGGAGTTCTGGTGGCCAAAGCATGAAGGACAGGAACAAAGGTTCCACAAAGCAGAACCAAGGAGAAACAAGTCTCCTAATTTGCATACAAATATCCTCCTCCTCCACTTACTAGCTGACTTCCAAATGTACATCTATAGAGTGTGACACTAAAAAATCTATCAGAAAACAACAGGTTGAGTCTAAAGAACTGAAGAGATTTTAGGAGCTTTGCAGAGCTAGTAACAAAGTTGAAATTTAAGTCCAGCAAAGGTAGAGGGGATTTGGTAAAGATTTGGACTTGCAGTTGAGAAAGGGCAAACCAAAATAAATCAGCCCTAAAAAGGGGTAACACTAACCCTCAAAAGGATCAATATAATCTGTTGAGGGGGGGAAAATATATATATATATATAGTCGGTTAGACCTGACTGCCTACAGGAAAACAGCCCTCTCTGGAGGAAGTGCACCTAGAGTCTTTAAATTTTTTCATGCGTAATACAATAAAAATTTATGGGTACATCTCAACAAAAAACCCCAAATAAGACTGACTGAAAACCAATGAAAAGAAAAGAAAAAAGATAAAAGAACAGACCTATAGGTAACTCATATTGGTATTACCACGCTAGGACATTTGAGAAAATAGAGAAAAAGATGGAGAAGTTTAGGAGAGTCCTGGAATAATTAAAAAAAAAAAAGTCATGGAAATTTGAGAATTGTAAAATAAAATTTGGAAATTATGAATAAATACATTTTATATCAATAGTATAAAGTAGTTCAGATTGATACATAAAAGGATAAAAATATTTATATATATATATAAATATTTATAAATATAAATATGCGGAACAAGGCTAAAAGGTCTAACACAGATGTAAATAGAGTCTCAGAACAAGAGATGTAAATAGAGGGACGCCTGGGTGGCTCAGTTGGTTAGACGACTGCCTTCGGCTCAAGGTCATGATCCCGGAGTCCCGGGATCAAGTCCCGCATCGGGCTCCCAGCTCCATGGGGAGTCTGCTTCTCCCTCTGACCTTCTCGCTCATGCTCTCTCTCACTGTCTCTCTCTCAAATAAATAAATAAAATCTTAAAAAAAAAAAAAAAAGAGATGTAAATAGAGTCTCAGAATAAGAGAAAACAGACACTCCAACAGAAGCAGTATTTGAAGAACTGTTGGCTAGACAATTTCCCCAAAATGAAGAAAAATATCAAACCACACAAATTCAAGAAGTTCTATGCATAACAAATAAGGTAAATATAAAAGGGAAACACAACTACCCACATCATAGTCACACTCGCGAAAACTGAAGTTAAAAAAAAAAAAATCTTAAAAGCAGCTGAAGAAAAAAGACAACATACAGGAGAACAAAAATTAGAAAAAAGACTGTTCTCTTCTCAGAAACAATGAAGGCCAGAAGTCAATGGAGTATCTTTAAGGAGCTGGAGGGAGGGGTGTGGAAACCTACTTAAAATTCTCTAGTCAGTAAAAATATCCTTCAAATATAAAGGTGAAGGGGTGCCTGGGTGTCTCAGCCAGTTAAGGGTCTGCCTCCGGCTCAGGTCATGATCCAGGGTCCTGCGATGAGCCCCACATCTGGCTCCCTGCTCCGCGGAGAGTCTGCTTCTCCTTCTCCCTCTGCCTGCCACTCTGCCTACTTGTGCTCTTTCTGTCAAATAAATAAATAAAATCTAAAAAAAAAAAAAAAAAAAAAAAGGTGAAATCAGGAGATTTTCAGGTAAATGAAAATGAGAATTTATCACAAACAAACCTATACTGTAGAAATGCTAAAGAATATTCTTTAAGTTAAAGTGAAATACTCAATGGAAATCTGGTATAAAAACTGGAAAGGGAGAAGTAAACAAACTGCTTTTATTTATAGAGAGCATGATGGTGTACACAGAAAACCCTAAGGAATATCTTCTCCCCACCCAGTAAAATAATTGAATAAGTGAACTTAGAAGGATCACAGGATAATACAACATCAACATTTAAAAACTTCATCTCACCACTTCACCATTGTTCTAGAGGTTCTAGTCAGGTTAATAATGCAAAAAAAGAAAAGAAATCTTGAAAAGGAAGAAATAAAACTGTCATTATTTATAGATGACATGTTGTAAACATTTAAAATCCAAAAGGATCTCCAAGTAATTACTGCAATTATTAAGTGAATTTAGGAAGGTCAATATTAAAAAATCATTTTTTTACTAGGACAATTAAATAAAGCTGAGCTCCCCTGCTAGAACCTCCAAACAAGCTCTCAAGGTCCATTTATTTTTATTTTTATTCTATTTTATTTTATTTAAAATTTTTTTTAGTATTATTTATTTTATTTATTTGACAGAGAAAGATCACAGATAGGCAGAGAGGCAGGCAGAAAGAGAGAGAAGCAGGCTCCCCGCTGAGCAAAGAGCCCGATGTGGGGCTCAATCCCAGGACCCCGAGATCATGACCTGAGCCGAAGGCAGCAGCTTAACCCACTGAGCCACCCAGGCGCCCCTCTATTTTATTTTTTTAAAGATTTTATTTATTTGACAGAGATCGATCACAAGTAGGCAGAGAGGCAGGCAGAGAGAGGGGGGGAAGCAGGCTCCCCGCCAAGCAGAGTACCCGATACAGGGCTCGATCCCAGGACCCTGGGATCATGACCTGAGCCGAAGGCAGAGGCTTTAACCCACTGAGCCACCCAGGCACCTCTATTTTTATTTTTTAAGAAGATTTTATTTCTGGGGCACCTGGGTGGCTCAGTGGGTTAAGCCCCTGCTTTTAGCTCTGGTCGTGGTCTCAAGCCCCACATGGGGCTCTCTGCTCAGCAGGCAGCCTGCTTCCCCCTCTCCCTCTGCCTACCTGTGATCTCTCTATGTGTCAAATAAATAAAATCTAAAAAAATTTTTTTTAAAAAGGAAGATTTTATTTCTTCATTTGTCAGAGAGAGAGAGATTGATTGAGCAAATGAGTGCACAAGCAGGGAGAGCAGCAGACAGTGAAGCAAGCTCCCCACCGAGCAGGGAGCGGGATGTGGGACTTGATCCCAGGACCCCGGGATCATGACCTGAGCCTGGCCTTAGGCAGAGGCACTTATCCGACTGAACTACACAGGTGTCCCCCAAAGTAAAAACTTTGTAACAATGATTTCTAAAGCATCACAAAATATCAAATATATGAAGACATCTCATGAAATATGTCCAGATCTCTACACTAAAAACAAAACAGTGCTGAGAGAAATCAAGGAAGATATAAATAACATAGCATGCTCTTTGACTTAATATTGTTAAATGAGTTTTCCCCAAAATTGAACTACAGATCAAAATCTCAGTTTTTGCGGAATTTGCAAAGTGATTCTAATGTATATGGAATGTATACAAAACCTAGAACAGCTAAAACAACCTCAAAAAAGAAAGTTGGAGGACTTTTCTATAAAGCTACAGTAATTAGTATAGTGTGGTAATGGTTACAAGAAAAATAAAGGGACCAATGTGTCCACAAGCTGATATACTCTTTTTACTTCTTTGCATTACAGCCACTTCCTCATTACACTTTGCAAAAATACGTTTTATACCACTTGTGTTCTGCAAGCTCTTTTACTGGTTTGACAGAAAGACTGGAGGCACAAGACTAAGTGCTTTTCAAACCAAATTAAAACCTCCACGCTTAATTCTACAGGCAGTGGGGAGCCACTATTTATGAAGTGCCTACATACTACAATCAGAGGGATAATCAGGATGTCCCAACACTCTGTAATACTCTGTTAGCACAGGATAATTGTAACAATATAAACGTATGCAAGGTAAAAAGCAGAAATGAGGGAAGAGAAAATGGTCACAGTCTTCTAGAAGATAAAATCTGAGCTAGGTTTTAAAGGGCCTACAAAGCAATGATGAAAGGATATTCCAGGCTGGAGAGAGAGCATGCTTACCCTTGTAAATCAGTAGCTTTTGCGGTTCAGCAAACGTTTCATTCGTGTTTTTTAATTTACTTTAAAAACAATGAAATCATGAGATAAACAGTTAACTGTGTCATAGACCAAATGTTAATTATTTTGGAGACGTCCAAAGCATTAATTTGTGCTGTATTAACACTGACTTTCAGAAAACAGCTTTTCCTGCCACCCAGGTGAATGCAGTTCAATTCTCTATACCCGTGTCACTGATGAGGAAGGTTACAGCTTTTCACCTGTCCTTTTTGGATTCTGACCTGTATATGTTCACTCACGCGGAGGGAAATTCTCTATTTTGGCAAGGGCATCTACTCCCTTAACGCTGTTGCCTCAGCCCGAGAGTTACATGGCAAACTACTGAGTCCTGATACTGCCAGGGCTAAATGTAATACAGTTCTTGTTATAAATTTTAAAGGCTTCTCGTGTTGTGTATTTGCCATGAAGAATACTAGTTACCGTCAGGTGTTATCAGTGGTTCAGCTCTTACTGAAACCGCACCTGAGAAGCTGGAAGGTACCGTTTGCAAACACTAGTCCATGCAAACCAAGATACTATCAATCCTGGGCACTAAAGCAATATACTGAAATAAAGCGATAAATTAATCCCAATTCAAGTCAATCCCAATTTCAAGTCCGAATTTATCGAGTCAAACTTTTGTACTATTTAATCTTTTAGCTGAGATTCCGTGTACACATCTAACTGGAAAAGGACCTCCATGATTTTCTTTAAAGTTGTTTGTAAAAACAGTACTGCTTAATGAAGGAGAACTACACGTATGACCAGGTGAATGTTTTAAGAAGAGGCCGCGGATAAAGACCAAAGGCTTGAACTCCCAGTAACGGCTCAGGGGCAGCAGGCGGCATGAAACGCTGGAGACGCGGGGCACGGATCCCCCGACTCTGAGCACACGGTTAAAGGAGACCGCAACCACGCAATCCTGGGGCCTGACCCCGAGCTCCCGACCCTCACATGGCAGAATCCGCCCTCAGGGACCCATCTTTAGGACCCCGGCCCGACCAGACGCTTCATCCTCCCTCCGAGAGGCGAAACTTTCTGCCCCTTTCCGGTAAGGCACAGGAATGAATACCGACACTACGGCCGCTTAAGGGGGCTTACTAATTTCTCTCAGAGACGCTGGCCACACGAGGATTCTCAAAGGAACTTCGACGCCAAACGGTCACGCAGGCCCCGCCCCTTTCCCGCCGTGCTCTGCGGCCGAGCATGCGCATCGCAGCGCAGCGCCGCTGACCGGGGGTGGGCGGGAGGAGAGACCCGCGTTCCCTTCGCTACAGGGGGCGGGGGAGAGCTCGTGGTGCTGCCCAGGGTCTGATCTTGGAAGTCATCTTGGTTGGCCCCAAATTTGGACCCTTGAAGGTTAGGGCAACGTCGGGATGAACTCAGAGTTGAGGCGGGGCTGTTGGATTTACTGGATTCGATGGGTCTATTGGCAATTTATGTAAATCCCAATTTCTTCATCCCCCCCCTTTCTTTTTTTTTAAAAAGATTTTATTTATTTGGCAGAGTGAGAACAGGACAGCAAGAGGGAACACAAGCAGGGGGAGGGGGAGAAGGAGAAGCAGCCTTCCTGTTGAGCAGAGCCCAAAGCAGGGCTCCATCCCAGCACCCTGGGATCATGACCTGAGCTGAAGGCAGACGCTTAAGGACTGGGCCACCCAGGCGCCCCAATTTCCTCATCCTTGAAACAGGATTTATTAGAGTGACTTTGCCATAGGCATATGAAGATTGGAAAGGCAATGCTGGTAAAGTTCCAGGTACGCAGTAAATTCCCAGTAAAAGGAATTATCTGCAGTGATACTGAGGGAGTTCAGGCCTTTTCTATTTTGGGGCCCTCTTTTATATTAAAAAAAAATCCCAAAAGAGTGTGCAAAAATCATGGTTTATTTTAAATGCCACTTAACACTTTCAACACCTAAAAAAGTATAGGATCAAATAATTGTGCTATTCCTAAAATAATAGGATTATAGAAGATATATAGAGTTGAATGATGAATTTATCGCAATCTTGTCTTTGACCATACTTTTTGAGATATTATCAAGTCTGTGCCCAGACCAAAAGGCCCTCCTGACCCCTGCTTCTATGGTCCCCAAATGTCCTCTGCAGTTAACCTCAAATTCAGACCCTTTGGTGATTCTGAATACTACACTGGTAACTGAACTTAATTTCTTCAATGGTTATTCTTACCTTCCTAATATACATATATTATATATACGGTATATAATATATACTAATTAAGTTCATTTTATTATTATTTATATCATTTTATTTATTCTCTGTTCCCGTTGTTCCCTTTCCCTGCCTTCTTTTGGCTAATTTGAACATTTTCTAGTATTCCATTTTAACTATTGTGTTTATGACCATATATCTTTGTATAATTTTTTTAGTAGTTGCTCTAGTGATTGCAATAAACATAATTTACTTTTCATAGTCCACTTAGAATCAGTATTTTACTAGTTCAAGTGGAATGTAGAAATATAATCCCCAAATAAGTCCCTTTATGCTCTCTCCACCCTTTTGTTATAGTTGTTTTATATATTAGAATCATAAACCCCATCAGGCAGTGTTAATAACTTTTACTGTCAATAGTAAATGTTTTTAAAAGAACTCAAGAGAATAGTGTATTATATTTACTCAGATATTTACCACTTCTGTTCTTTCATTCTTGATATTCCCTTTTTCCTTCATGTATCATTCCTCTTCTATCTGAAGAACTTCCTTTAGCAATTCTTTTAGAGCAAGACTGTTGCCAAGAAATTCTTTTGGTTTTCCTTCTCTAATAATGTCTTTATTTTACCTCCACTCCTGAAGAATATTTTCACTGGATGTAGAAGTGTATTTCTTTTTTTTTTTTTAAGATTTTATTTATTTATTTATTTGTCAGAGAGAGAGAGGGAGAGAGAGCGCGTGCGCTGATGCATAGGCAGGCAGAGTGGCAGGCAGAGGCAGAGAGAGAAACAGGCTCCCCGCCAAGCAAGGAGCCCAGTGCGGGACTCGATCCCAGGACCCTGGGATCATGACCCGAGCCGAAGTCAGTGGCCCAACCAATTGAGCCACCCAGGAGTCCCTAGAAGTGTATTTCTTGATAGAGTAGGAGAAAAAAATCCCAGTGAGGTGCTGAGTATCAAATGACCATCACTGACCTAATCACAATACCTGGAAGATGGAGTACTCTGGTTCCAGTCTAGGTCATATAATAACAATTTTGACGCCTTCCCTCCCTGATCGATCCATTTATGATGTCCAGCTCTTGGAACTTCCAAATTATATAAGCCAGTAGATTCTCTCTCTCTTTTTTAGTTTTATTTATTTATTTTAGAGAGGAGGCAGTGAACGTGAGTTGGGGAATAGACAGGAAGAGGGAAAGTGAGAGAGAGAGAATCCTCAAGCAGACTCCCCTCTGAGTGTGGATCCCAGGACCCTGAGCTCATGACTTGAGCCAAAATCAAATCGGCCACTTAACTGACTGAGACACACAGGTACCCCAACCAATAGATTGTCTTTGTACTTAACCTACTTTGATTTGGTTTTCTGTCACTTGCAGCCAAAGTCTTGTCCAGTAAATGTATCCATGAGCAACTGCTGACAACAAATGTGTCTTATTTTCTAAGTTAACATGAGTTTGTCTAAGCAAGATAAAGCAGTTGAGTCTTTAAGATGTGTAGACACTTGTTTCTAATAAATGAATGACTTGTACAAATAAAAGATATCATTGAGAGATAAACCCCAGCCTTTGTGTAACAACTTCAGGAGAACTGGAACACTAAGTGCACATCCCTGCTTCTGATAATAGGACCAAGAAAAAAAAAATGATTAAAAAGATTGAATTTTTGTCCCAGGTGAGGACCAGCAATGACTGTGCAAACTGCTTATTCATGGGGCAGTTACCCAATTTTTGAGACATTAATTTGTATTGTTGTATACTTCTCCTCCCTTGCATCTTTTTCAGAGGGATTTTGGTAGGACCTAAAGCAGAAGCTATTAGAAGTAAAGAGCTGTCTTATGTTTTGTAAAAATTCAACCTGATTGAAAAGATTATGAAAATATTCAGGGAGTGAGTGAGAGAGAGAGAGAGAGAGAGAGAGTGTGTGTGTGTGTGTGTGTGTGTGTGTGTGTATGGGTCGGGGGTTAAGGAGACAGGGAAGGGCCTTAGAGAAAACCAAGGAAGAAAAGATTTCAGAAGGAGGTGCCTGGGTGGCTCAGACAGTTAAGCATCTGCCTTTGGCTCAAGTCAGGATCGCAGGGTCCTGGGACTGAGTCCCACATCCAGCTCCCTGCTTTGTAGAGAGCCTGCTTCTCCCTCTGCCTCTGCTTCTCCCTCTTCCTGCTTCTCCCTCTCCCTCTGCCTACTGCTCCCCCTGCTTGTGCTTTCTCTCTGTCAAATAAATAAAATCTTTTAAAAATGAAAAAAAAAAAAAGATTTCAGAAGGCTAGGAAGGGGGCAAATGTCTATAGCTGTGTGATTTGAGGGAACCTGCACCATGTTCTTTGACAGCACTGTGGGGAGAGTGCTGGACCGTGAGCATAAGGAGTTTTATCCTCGATGAAGATGCTCATGCCCTAAGCCATGGGTCCTGTTGAGAACATGCAGACTGAGGCAATGGCCATCTCTGTGGTAACCAATCTGGACTATTGAGCCAATTGCTGCAGTGCCTCCCTGATGCTTTTTTTTTTTTTTAAAGATTTTATTTATTCATTTGACATAAAGAGATCACAAGCAGGCAGAGAAGCAGGCAGAGAGAGAGGAAGGGAAGCAGGCTCCCCGCCAAGCAGAGAGCCGGACATGGGGCTTGATCCTAGGATCCTGGGATCATGACCTGAGCCGAAGGCAGAGGCTTTAACCCACTGAGCTACCCAGGCGCCCCTCCCTGATGCTTTAATGGTGGATAAGACCCACCTTGGGACATATACATACCTCTGGTGGAATTCTTCTTGGGAATGCCAATAATGACATTAAGTTTTCTGCCAGTGTAACAGTGTGAGACTTCAGATTTGGATTTGGATTCATTATGAGAAAGTAAATGTTATTTTCTCCATATCTGCATATGCCCTAAAATTCATCCCTGTTACTTCTGGATGAAGCATCAGACCCCAACTTAGTTCCTTGACTTATCACTTTTGAGTAAGTATCTGAAGAGAGAGGCCCAACAGCAGTCAAGCCATAGTCCTAAAATTCCCCAGAAGCTCATCCATAGTCAATGGCATTCATACCCTTAGGAAAACACCTAAATATTAAGAATATCCTGCTTTGGGTGCAAGGGTAGGAGTTCAGAAAGAATGAGAATTAATCCCACAACTTTGTATTCTGTATGTCCCGCAAAAGGCTTCTTATATATTCCCCACCAATCATAACCTGTATCTCTTTTATAGTGGATAAAAAGTCCCATAAATTTATTGAAAAAAATCAAGAGTCAAAGAATGATCCAAAATAATAGTATGAGATTTCACCAGATAGTAAGTACATAGCTAATTGCCAATAACAATCTGCAGTAGAGAGAATAAGAGTGAGTCATAAGTCTGTCTCCTTGATTAGTCCTTTTCCCTCCTCAAGGTTCTTTAAGCTAAAGAAAAATTTTGTTCTTATTTTTAAAGAAAGATTTATTTATTTATTTGTCAGAGAGAGGGAGAGAGGAAGAGAGAGAGAGCATACACAAGGCAGGGGGAGTGTCAGGCAGAGGGAGAGGGAGAAGCAGGTTCCCCACTGAGCAAGGAGCCCAATGGGAGTCCCAATCCTAGAACCCTGGGATCATGACTTGAGCCGAAGGCAGATGCTTAACCAACTAAGCCACCCAGACATCCCTAAGCTAAAGAAAAATTTTAAAAAGCACCCAAATTATGTGTAATATCCTGTCTCAGGACAATTATTTGAAAAAAATATATATATATACACTTTTTTCTGATTATCAAACACAAATTAAAATGAAACTTTCTGTGTAGGTCTTTCTCTGCATCTCTGACATACTTTCTATTTCTGGAACTGTAGGTCTTTGTCTCTCACAACTCATCTCCTCGTACTTAACACAATACTGGGCAGGGAGTCACTTGATAAATGTCTGTTTAATGAATGGATATGTGCATG